ACGGTGACATCTAGTACTTTACTTACGTACGTGCTATTGATGATTAGAAGTAAGCAGTGTAATGACGGGAGAAGGCAACCGCACCCCACTCTGGTACTCTTGCCTGGAAAATCCATGGGGTCGCAAAGAGTTGGACACGACTGAGCGACCTCACTTTCACTCTTCACTTTCATGCATTGGAGAAGGAAATGGCAACCCACTCCAGTGTTCTTGCCTGGAGAATCCCAGGGACGGGGGAGCCTGGTGGGCTGCCGTCTATGGGGTCGCACAGAGTCAGACACGACTGAAGCGACTTAGCGGCAGCAGCAGCAGCAGCAGTGTAATGATGTGTGTGTGTATGCTCAGCTGCTAACTCATGTCCGACTCTTTAGACCCATGGATTGTAGCCTGCCAGGTTCCTCTGTCCATGGGATTTCCCAGACAAGAATACTAGAGGGGGTAGCCATTTTCTACTCCTGGGAATCTTTCTGACCAAGGGAACAAACCTGGGTTCCCTGCATTGCAGGTAGATTCTTTACCACTGAGCCACCTGGGAAGCCCCAGTGTAATGATAGTTGCAGATTATCTGGCCTGTGGGCATACTAACTATGCTTGGAATGAATCAATACCTTAACAGTATAATTTGAGCTAGAAAAACCATTTTTTTCTTCTTTTATTTTTATGTTTTTTAACACTAAAAAAGATTTTTTATTCGGGTATAGCCAGTTAACAGTGTTGTGATAGTTTCAGGTGAACGGTGAAGGGATTCAGCCATACATATATATGTATCCATTTTAATAAAGGCAATCTTTAAAATAATAGAAAATCTTTTAAAAAATGTATTTGTGCCTAGATCACTGATTCCCTGATGTATTCACAGTCCATTCTTCATTGCAGTTTCAGGTTAAGCGACTAAAGGGATTTGAAAGTCACAGTGAGGAGTCACTTTTAAGTAAAAAAGATATTTCATAGTTCATTTTAGGACTTCTTCGATGGTCTAATGGTTAAGGTTCCACACTTCCACTGCAGGGGGCATGTGTTCCATCCCTAGTCAGGGAAATTCCACATGCCTTGCATTGCAAGAAAGAATAAGAAAGTTCATTTAATATAAGCTAGATTGATAAGTTAAAAGAGCTATCATTTATTCTAAAGTAAATGCCATCTTAGATTGGGAATACTGTTTTTATTTACTTCTTCATATTAAGTAGAACTGACCCAAATTTGTTGATTTTTATGACCTGGAAATTTTTCAGCATTGACTTTGTATAGGTGATTATTTAAAGAACCATGCTTTGCTAGATACATATATAACAATTTGTTATCTAGATAGTTGGGCTTCCCAGGTGGGGCAAGTGGTAAAGAACCCACCGGCCAATGCAGGAGAGGTAAGAGACATGGGTTTGATCCCTGAGTTGGGAAGATCCCCTGGAGGAGAAAATGGCAACCCCTCTAGTATTCTTCCCTGGAGAATCCCATGGACAGAGGAGGTTGGTGGGCTATAGTCCATAGGATCACAAAGAGCTGAACATGACTAAAGTGACTTAGCATGCACACAATCAGATGGTTAATAAAATGTAAGAAATTACATACTTCATGTTTCTTACTAGTCTTCTCATAGGAGCAGTAAATATACAAATCTTAATTTTGTGAGGCTGATGATTTTAATTGTTTAGCGTTAACATCCTTTTGTCAAATGGGGGCATCATTTGCCTTTCTTAAGTAAGCTGTGTGGCAAGAGTGTTTTCCTTATTAAACTCAAATGATATTGAGGTAAATAATTGTTCTCCTTTCACCTTATTTTATAAGGCTTTTATTTACCTCTATAGCCAGCACTCTTGCTAGCAATATTTAAAGTCCAGAAAGTTTTAGTAGTTTTCTTTATCAGTTCAGTTCAGTCGCACAGTGGTGTACAACTCTTTGCGACCCCATGGAATGCAGCATGCCAGGCTTCCCTGTCCATCACCAAATCCTGGAGATTACTCAAACTCATGTCCATTGAGTCGGTGATGCCATCCAACCATGTCATCCTCTCTTGTCCCCTTCTCCTCCTGACTTCAATCTTTCCCAGCATCAGGGTCTTTTCCAGTGAGTCAGTTCTTCCCATCAGGTAGCCAAAGTATAGCATCAGCCCTTCCAATGAATATTCTGATTTCCTTTAGGATGGACTGGTTGGATCTCCTTGCAGTCCAAGGGACTCTCAAGAGTCTTCTCCAGCACCACAGTTCAAAGCATTAATTCTTCAGTTTTCAATTATATTAACCTCCAAAGTTACCATCAATTCAGTTCAGTTGCTCAGTTCAGTCAGTCAGTTCGGTTGCTAAGTCATGTCCACCCTTTGTGACCCCATGGACTGCAGCACGCCAGGCTTCCCTGTCCATCACCAACTCCTGGAGCTTGCTCAAACTCATGTCTGTCGAGTCAGTGATGCCATCCAACCATCTCATCCTCTGTCATCCCCTTCTCCTCCTGCCTTCAATCTTTTCCAGGACCAGGGTCTTTTCCAGTGAGTCAGTTCTTCCCATCAGGTGGCCAGAGTATTGGAGCTTCAGTTTCAGCATCAGCCCTTCCAGTGAATATTCAGCACTGATTTCCTTTAGGATTGACTGGTTTGATCTCCTTGCAGTCCAAGGGACTCTCAAGAGTCTTCCCCAACAGCACAGTTCAAAAGCATCAATCCTTTGGCGCTCAGCTTTTTTTAATGGTCCAACTCTCACATCCATATATGACTGTTGGAAAAATCATAGCTTTGACTAGATGGACCTTTGTTAGCAAAGTAATGTCTCTGCTTTTTAATATACTGTCTAGGTTTGTCATAGCTTTACTTCCAAGGAGCAAGCGCCTTTAATTTCCTGGCTGCAGTGATTTAGAGCCCAAGAAAATAAAGTGTGTCACTGTTTCCATTGTTTCCCCATCTATTTGCCATGAACTGATGGGACTGGAGGCCATGATCCTAGTTTTTTGAATGTTAAGTTTTAAGCCAGCTTTTCCACTCCCTTCTTTCATCAAGAGGCTCATTAGTTCCTCTTCGCTTTCTGCCATAAGGATGGTGTCTTCTGCATATCTGAGGTTATTGATATTTCTCCCGGCAATCTTGATTCCAGCTTGTTCTTCATCCAGCCTGCCATTTCACATGTTGCAGTCAGCATATAAGTTAAATAAGCAGGATGACAATATACAGCCTTGATGTACTCCTTTCCCAATTTGAAACCAGTCTGTTTTTCCGTGTCTAGTTCTAACTGTTGCTTCTTGACCTGCATACAGATTTGTCAGGAGGCAGGTAAGGTGGTCTAGCATTCCCATCTCTTTCAGAATTTTCCACAGTTTGTTGTGTTCCACACAAAGGCTTTGGCATAGTCAATTAAGCAAAAGTAGATGTTTTTCTGGAACTCTCTCTTTTTCTGTGATCCAACGGATGTTTGGCAACTTGATCTCTGGTTCCTTTGCCTTTTTAAAATCCAGCTTGAACATCTTGAAGCTCATGGTTCACGTACTGTTGAAGCCTTGCTTGGAGAATTTTGAGCATTCCTTTGTTGGTATGTGAGATGAGTGCAAAAGTTACCATCACAAAATGCGATTGTTACCAATGAAAGAAAATGACATTGTTTTAAGAATAAGAGCTTAGGATAAAAATCTTATTATGAGTCTTTGTTTTGTTGTCATCGTTGTTTTAAGTATCTGAACAAGAGGGGAAGACCAAGTAAATGCTTAAGATTTAAAACACACTTCTTCATACTCCCATGCATCTTTCTGACCTAATAATATTCAAAGTAATCATCACTAATTAGAAGATGTTTTGAGCAAATCCAAATTGCATACTAATGTGTGCTATTGCTACCAACCCCTGATGTCTGTAATAACTCTAAATCTGTTTTACCATCATTAAATCTAGGTGAGAAGTAGGTTTGAATATGGTTATCACTCCACTAAAATGTATATGATTCAGTTCAGCTCAGTCATGTCCGATTCTTTGTGACCCCATGGACCGCAGCATGCCAGGCCTCCCTGTCCATCACCAACTCCCGGAGTTTACCCAAACTCATGTCCATTGAGTTGATGATGCCTTCTAACCATCTCATCCTCTGTCGTCCCCTTCTCCTCCTGCCTTCAATCTTTCCCAATATCAGGGTCTTTTCCAATGAGTCAGCTCTTCGCATCAGGTGGCCAAAATATTGGAGTTTCAGCTTCAACATCAGTCCTTCCAGTGAACACCCAGGACTGATTTCCTTTAGGATGGACTGGTTGGATCTCCTTGCAGTCCAAGGGACTCTCAAGAGTCTTCTCCAACACCACAGTTCAAAAGCATCAATTCTTTGGCACTCAGCTTTCTTTATATTCCAACTCTCACATCCATACATGACCACTAGAAAAACCATAGCCTTGACTAGACAGACCTTTGTTGACAACATAATGTCTCTGCTTTTTAATATGATTACTGTATTTTTTTGGGGGGGGGGCCCTCTTCTTGTGGCTTGTGGGATCTTAGTTCCCTGACCAGGGAATGAACCGGGTACCTGCAATGAAAGCTCCAAGTCCTCACCAGGGAATTCCTGACTACTGTGTTTTATAAAACTATTATTTTTATCTCTCCATTACTAACAATTTATGCTACAGTTAGACTTCAAAATACATTATTTTTGATCTACTCAGAAAGGAACTACATTTGTACATGGTTGCACTGGGGGAAAAATTATTTTTAGGATGTGAGAGTTATATAGATATTTAGCCTTAAGTATTTAAATACTTTAATATTTCCATTGGTGTAGCTCTTGGCCTGTTCTTACGTATAAGTTTAAAATCTTGCATATCTATCTCTCTGTCAGGCAGACACCATAGGCTTCAGCTGAAGATAATAGCTTAAGATTCATGTCTCCTTTCTTAAAGGTTACAGTTGTCTTAAAGTGACAGTTTTGAAGGACCTAAACTGACATCAAAGTATTTAAATGATCAGGTTAGGTCAATTAATGTTAATATTCATTTTCCAGTAAATTATTTTAATGTTTTCCTCTTTTCCTTTTTTCTAGCCGAGTCCTATACCGAGTCCTGTTTTGGGACGAAAGCCGAATGCTAGTCAGTCGTTACTTGTATGGTGCAAAGAAGTTACAAAAAACTATCGGGGAGTGAAAATCACCAATTTTACTACATCGTGGAGGAATGGTTTATCTTTTTGTGCAATATTACATCACTTTAGACCAGATTTAATGTAAGCAGAAAAACTTTCCATTCCTATAACTATTTTGCTAATAGTTCTTTTTAAAAAATAGCATAAAATAATTTCTTGTCATGTGTCCTGAAATACTTGATTTTTTTTATTACCCATATCTCAGAAAAGTTGTTCCATCTTGATACTTAAAAACAATTTTTTCTGTTTTCAAAGAGCTTATTTTTTTCCTTAATCTCATATAAAAAAAAGACTTCAAGTTACTATGAAAACTGTATAAATATTAAAATGAGACAAATAAGCTTGTAGCTGTTTATATACTGACAACAAAGAATTACCTCATGATGAATTTGATTGTCAAGACTAGTCACTGGTCCCCTGCCTTAACTTCTCTTTTAGATGAAGTTAGTTTTAGTTCCAAGCTTCAGGCATTGGAACTTGTAATCACTGTTTTTATTTATTTATTTCCTTAATTTTCCACTCTATTAGTTTTGTTGATTGAATTGCTGTGAAATTGCTAGTTACTCTTTGGTGTTACTGAATGTCAGATTTTAAGATTCAGTTTGTTGTAGAAACAGCTGTTTTTATCAATTACTGTCTGTACCTACTGTGCCATTTTCTCCCTCAGTGACTACAAGTCTCTGAATCCTCAAGACATTAAAGAGAACAACAAAAAGGTAAGCATTGCCAAAGGAAAAAAATGCATAATTTCAATTTTGCCTTCTCTGCAGGCTTTTATTAATTTGGGGAAAGTGAGGTTGTTCTGTGAGGTCCTAACTATAGCTCACAGAAGGTAGTCTGTTTCCTGCAGTTCAAGTAGGACGCATGGTTTACTCTAGTTTGTCACGGCCTTTAAAAATCAGAAATGCCAGCCTGGCATCAGATGATAATAGTGTATATGAGCTTCATTAACTGTTAAATATTTGTTAAAGCATGTTGCTTTTATTTAGCTTTTTAGCAAGATTTAGCTTTTAAAAAGTACGCCTCAAACTGTTGTGCTACAAGTTCAGAAAAAGCCACTGAGAGGGGATGAAAGCAGGAGCCTGATGAGTGTGCAAAAAAGAATGCATGTGTTCCCAGAGGCAACAAGATATGAACACTGGTTCTTTTCTTTTTTTTCCACCCCCCCCCCCCACCTTTTCTGGTAAACTGTACAGTTTTTTCCACATAATTAATGTACTGAGGTCAGAGCTTCCAAATTGGTTTGGGGAAAATGTTGATGCTTTTATTCTTGAGAGTAGCTGCTTGGGGCTGGGTGGCTAGGGCCCTTTGGGCCAGCTGACTGTGGCTGCAGGCTGACTTAACTATGTGCCCCTAAAATGCAGCTTAATATTAGTTTTCTGTGTGCGCCACACGTGAGACAGGAGGAAGCACCTAACTCAACATACGGCAGGTACTCCTTTAACATTTTTTTCCTGCTGAATTGAATTCTTCAACTGAAAATTATTGTCTTAGAGCAAGATCTGTGGATAGACTTGAGGGGATCCTCAATCATGGCTTGGGGAAAAAAATTATTTTTTCAATTCTTTAACTGAAATTTAGCATTTTCTTCAATTATGAATTTAGACATACCACTATGAATTTAGTCATAACAAATCACTGTAGTATTAGCTATGCCTGAGACTCTTTCACCTTTAGAATCTCAGATGTTTTCATATCACTTTACAGTTCCAAATATCTACAACTACCTTTTAAGCTCATCACTTCTTCGTAATTGTAACAGTTGGTACATCCATAAAAAGTACATTTATTGTTTCTCAAATTCCATTTTCTAATATTTTCAAATATCTATTTTTCAATAATTGGTTTATTTTGTAATCATATGTATTTTATGCCCATTAAAGCTTTATTCTGAGAAGGGGTTCATTGCCCAAAAAATTAATGGGACAAAGTGATTAATAACCTCTAATTTAGGTTAATGGAGAAGGCAGTGGCACCCCACTCCAGTACCCTTGCCTGGAAAATCCTATGGACGGAGGAGCCTGGTAGGCTGCAGTCCATCAGGTCACTACGAGTTGGATATGACTGAGCGACTTCACTTTCACTTTTCACTTTCACACATTGGAGAAGAAAATGGCAAACCACTCCAGTGTTCTTGCCTAGAGAATCCCAGGGACAGGGGAGCCGGGTGGGCTGCCGTCTATGGGGTCGCACAGGGTCGGACACGACTGAAGTGACTCAGCAGCAGCAGTTTAGGTTAAATGTTTTAATTTACTTTAAATTAAATAATTAAAACCACCAGTGATAAAAAGACTATAAAGGGAAACTTGATAGAAGTTCAATCAACAGATGATAATTTTTTACTTTTGTTGCTCTCTAAAGCCAAAAATTTATATTTCCATTAAAAAAATTCTTGTTTATTTGTAAATGCATGATGCTGGCCTTAGAGAAATACATTTAAAAACAGTTTTTTAAATTGAAATATTCTACCAGAAAAGGTAATCTTTAAAAGTCAGTATAGTTTTCTTTATAGAAATCATTCTTCAAAATAAGTCATTGTCATGAATTATTTCTTACATGATTTTAAAGAACTTGTGTCTGTTAAAGCCAAATGCCTGTTTTTCATCAGTTAACTTATATGGTTGGGCCCACTGGATCTGTGAATGTGGAATCCTCAGATACAGAAGGCTAACTGTATTCTCCACCATTTTACATCAGGGACTTGAGCATCCCCAGATTGTGATGTCTACAGAGGGTGTTGGAATCAATCCCCATTAGGAAACAGCTGTTTCCTAAAATAAGACAGTTCTTTACCTGCATTTTCTTGCATTTGAATAAACTCATTTAAATGCAGATAAGATCATTATAAAAGAAAAAGTTGTTATTTTTTGTAAAGTGAAGCTTTCAAGCTACTACTTTAAAATTTTGAAAAAGTTTTTATTTTACCTAGTTATATATTTTTAAAGAGTATGAGGAATCTCATTAGGGCATAAGTTATACTTCTTCATGTTATTTTTTTCAGAAACTTAATAATGATGACCATACCTTGAATTTACATATTGCTACCAAAAAAGTATACCCCATAAAAATTTTTTCTCAAATCTTAAAGGGCAGATCATTATAGCTTTTTGAAAGAATTTTAATTTAGTTGATCCTATTCATTGCACAATTCAGTACATAATTGTTGTTATATTTTCCTTTTCATCACTTTTCAACTTCTTACCTGATATCTACATTGAGTATCAGTTGCTACCTGCAGATTTATTTCCAACTTCACACAGGTCTTCCTGATAACCCCATCTGCGCTTAATTGGACTTAAAAACAGGACAAGAAACAATGCCTGTGTCTTAAGTTCCATGCAGGCAGATGCATAACAACTGGCAGTGACTCCTTACCAATTAAATAACATTTAGCAATGAATAGACAATTTTCTGTGAAAGACCTTTTTTCCTCTCCACACTGACGGCTAAGACAGTAGATGACTGACCTTTGCAGAAGAGGTTAAAGTTCCTTTATAAAGTCCTGACCTCACTTACAAGAAACCTGGTTTGTTTTTAAATGTTTTTTTAAGTGCAATTAGTGTGCATAAAATGAATTGCCACATGAAGCAAAACACCAGCAGGAGATTCCCCACAAGGACGCAAATCATTTTCCCAGGTCTGTAAAAAGTGCTGAATAAACAAGGTATTTACCTGTGACATCTGATCTTAACCAGTATGTGTTTTAGATAATTGGGAAATGTTTAGAATACTGCCTGTGGTGCTTTTCCTGATGGTCTGCAATTGATGTCTGTCAATCAAGCTGTCAGGACACGTGAGGAAGAAAATGACTTTAATTTTCCTAAAACATGTAAAATAACGAACAGGCCCAAACATGCATACCAACTGAGCCATTCTCTTGAGTCAATATTTTGAGGTATCTGTATTATAAAACATAGTGCTGTGAAAATTGAAGAGGTTTTAATATAACAACTTATTTTTTGTTTTCTTTATTACTTATTCCATAACATTTATTAAACTACAGGAAGAATACAATACAAAGATTAAATTCCGAGGTAGAAATGCACTTTAACATGTATGTTCAAAAGACTAATGCATTCTGAGTTGTTACATAATTGCCTAAACTTTCTTTTTAGGAAAACTTTGAATTATTATCCTATATCTACGTTGTTACAAAGACTAGACATTTTACATCCCAAAGCAAGAATATAGCTAGAAAGTCCTTACTTTTTCCAAGAGTATATCTCAGTGTTTAGCCATATTTTTAGTGCTTCCTAGCAACACAATGTTGTTTTCAAGAGTTAGTTCAGCATAGTAATAATTAATTGTAAATTGAGAAACAGCTTTGATTCTTCAAAACTAGAAAAACCTGATGTGCCACAGTCATTTAAAGGCTAACAAAAGTAATACAATGCAGCCTCACATTCTAAACTAGGTTCTCCTACTCAAAACATTTCATTCTTTCCAAAATGGATAGAGTGAAAATGCAGTCACTCTTCTCATCATGAAAATAAATCTTAATTGGGCATTTAAAAAACGTTTCTATGTTTCTAGACTTAAATAGCAGTTATTTGTATTTTATACCAGGCAATCTGAAAGTTAGTTCTTTTGGAATATCAACCCATACTTTATCGTCACAAATCACTACAATTACATGATCACTGAAAAGAGGTTGATAGGAATAAAACTCCAGATGATTTATTATTTCCTTGTACTTTAGTTTTTTATCGCAAAAATCAATTCTAAGGTTTTATTTTTAATTTTTAACTGTCATTTTTATTGTTCTATTTAAACTTTTTTTGAGGTATCATCACCATATAACATTACATCAATTTCAAGTGTACCACATAATAATTTGATATTCATATACACTGTGAAATGCTCACCACAATAAGTCTAGTTAGCATCTATTATTTTGCTGTTTCTGCTGTTTTTAAAATGTGTAGGCTAGTGGTGATGTTTAAAGTTTCTTCTAAAAAGTTAAAATGTATGAATTGTCTTAACTCTTCAATATATCTTCTGTTTTTCTTTCCTCTGAAGGCATATGATGGGTTTGCCAGCATTGGAATTTCGCGACTACTGGAACCTTCTGATATGGTTTTATTAGCAATTCCTGACAAACTGACTGTTATGACCTATCTCTATCAAATAAGGGCACATTTCAGTGGCCAAGAGCTAAATGTTGTTCAAATAGAAGAAAACAGCAGTAAAAGCACGTATAAAGTTGGAAACTATGAAACGGACACGAATAGTTCTGTTGACCAGGAAAAATTCTATGCAGAGCTTAGTGACCTGAAACGGGAGCCTCCACTCCAGCAGCCTCCCAGTGGAGTGGTTGACTTCACATCCCAGGACGAGTCTGTATTTGTAAATGATAGTGGGGTTGGAGAGTCAGAAAGTGAACATCAGACTCCTGATGATCACCTCAGTCCAAACACAGCTTCTCCACACTGTCGCAGGACTAAAAGTGACACAGAACCCCAGAAGTCCCAGCAGAGCTCGGGAAGGACTTCAGGATCCGATGACCCTGGAATTTGTTACAGTACAGATTCAAACCACGCACAAGTTTCGTTGGGCAAGAAGAGACTATTGAAAACAGAGACTTTAGAATTAAGTGACTTATACGTCAGTGATAAGAAGAAAGATGTGTCTCCACCCTTTACTTGCGAGGAGTCAGATGAGCAAAAGCTTCAGAATCTAGACATCATTGGTACTTTGGAGCAAGAAAAATTAGATAATTCCAGACCCTTAGAATGCAGATCAGATCCTGAATCACCTGTCAAAAAACCAAGTTTATCTCCCACTTCTAAACTTGGATACCTGTACAATAGAGATGCAGACCTTGCAAAGAAAAAACGTACTTCCCTGAGGCAGACAGAGTCTGATTCAGATGCTGATAGACCCACCTTAAATCATGCAGATCATTCTGCAAAAACAGTTCAGGTAAGTGAGAATGATGAATACATAAATGTAGTAAATAGTTATTCTTTTTTTGTTTCTCTATGTGTTCATGTAGTGGTTTTGTCACTAAGTCATGTCCAACTCTTAAGACCCCATGGATTATAGCTTACCAGGCTCCTCTGTCCATGGGATTTTTTTGTACTCATAGAACACTTTACAAATGACTAAGGATGAAGTATAATTTCCTGATGTAGAAAAAACTGAAATAGACCTGCTTTTCACTTTATATTTTAAGCCTATAAATAAATCCCAATTTCTTTTTTTTTTTTTTTTTTTTTTTTTTTTTTTTTTTTTTTTTTTTTTTTTTTTTTTTTTTTTTTTTTTTTTTTTTTTTTTTTTTTTTTTTTTTTTTTTTTTTTTTTTTTTTTTTTTTTTTTTTTTTTTTTTTTTTTTTTTTTTTTTTTTTTTTTTTTTTTTTTTTTTTTTTTTTTTTTTTTTTTTTTTTTTTTTTTTTTTTTTTTTTTTTTTTTTTTTTTTTTTTTTTTTTTTTTTTTTTTTTTTTTTTTTTTTTTTTTTTTNAGGAGTTGCTTGTATATTTTTGAGATTAATCCTTTGTCTGTTGCTTCGTTTGCTATTATTTTCTCCCAATCTGAGGGCTGTCTTTTCACCTTGCTTATAGTTTCCTTTGTTGTGCAAAAGCTTTTAAGTTTCATTAGGTCCCATTTGTTTATTAATAAATCCCAATTTCAAGATTTAAGAATACAGAATGTCAGCTTTTCAAATCAAAATGTTATTAACCTATAAAAACAATATGTTACAGAATAAGTCATATTTCAGTATTCCATTTAGTAAGAATGTCATTCTTGAGATGTGTAATGCCAAATTAAAATATTTCCCATCTATAGCATTTTCTTCAAATATTTTAGTTGCATTGCAGTTGGCATTTTCAGTCCCATCATTACTTCTAGTTAAAAACCGCAGTACATACAAATTTCTCCCCATGAGGGGGATATGGCACAGATTGAACCTTACAGTATTTACTGTAAGGACTTTACTGCTAGGACTTCCATAACTCTGTTGAATAATAGTGGCGAAAGTGGGCGCCCTTGTCTAGTTCCTGATCTTAGGGAGAATGCTTTCAGTTTCTCACCGTTGAAAATAATGTTTGCTGTAGGCTTATCATATATGGCTTTACTATGTTGAGGTAGGTTCCGTCTACGCCTATTTTTTGGAGAGTTTTAATCATAAATGGGTGCTGAATTTTGTCAAAGGCTTTTTCTGCATCGATTGAGATGATCGTATGGTTTTTATCTTTCAATTTGTTAATATGATGTATCACATTGATTGATTTGCATATATTGAAGAATCCTTGCATTCCTGGAATAAACCCAACTTGATCATGGTGTATGAGCTTTTTGATGTGTTGCTGAATTATGTTTGCTAAAGTTTTGTTGAGGATTTTTGCATCAATGTTCATCAGTGATATTGGCCTGTAGTTTTCTTTTTTTGTGTTGTCTTTGTCTGGTTTTGATATAAGGGTGATGGTGGCCTCACAGAATGAATTTGGAAGTATTCCTTCTTCTGCAGTGTTTTGAAAGAGTTTTAGAAGGATAGGCATTAGCTCTTCTCTAAATGTTTGATAGAATTCTCCTGTGAAGCCATCTGGTCCTATTTTTTGGGAGATTTTTTATCACCGCTTCAATTTCAGTGACCAATGGAACAAGATAGAAAGCCCAGAAATAAATCCATGCACCTATGGATACCTTATTTTTGACAAACGAGTGAAGAATATACAATGGAGAAGAGACAAATGGTGCTGGGAAAACTGGACAGCTACATGTAAAAGAATGAAATTAAAACACTTCCTAACACCATACTCAAAGATAAACTCAAAATGGATTAAAGACCTAAGTGTAAGACCAGAAACGATAAAACTCTTAGAGGAAAACATAGGCAGAACACTTGATGACAAAATCAAAGTGAGATCCTCTATGACCCACCTCCTAGAGTAATGGAAATAAAAACAAAAGTAAACAAATGGGACCTGACTTAACTTAAAAGCTTTTGCACAGCAAAGGAAACTATAAGCAAGGTGAAAAGACAGTCCTCAGAATGGGAGAAACTAATAGCAAATGAAACAAGTGACAAAGGATTAATTTCCACAATATACAAGCAGGTCACACAACTCAATACCAGGGAAACAAACAACCCAATCAAAAAGGGGGGGAAAAGACCTCAACAGATATTTCTCCAAAGAAGACATACAGATGGCTAACAAACACATGAAAAGATGTTCAACATCTCTCACTATTAGAGAAATGCAAATCAAAACCACGATGAGATATCATCTCACACCGGTCAGAATGGCCATCATGAAAAAGTCTACAAACAATAAATGCTGGAGAGGGTGTGGAGAAAAGGGAACACTCTTGCATTGTTGGTGGGAATGTAAATTGATACAACCACTATGGAAGGCGGTATGGAGATTCCTTAATAAACTAGGAATAAAACCTCCATATGACCCAGCAATCCCACTCCTAGGCATATACCCTGAGGAAACCAGGGTTGAAAAAGACACATGTATCCCAGTGTTCATTGCAGCACTATTTACAATAGCTAGAACACGGAAGCAACCTAGATGCCCATCGATGGATGAATGGGTAAAGAAGTTGTGGTACATATACACAATGAAATATTGCTCAGCCATAAAAAGGAACACATTTGAGTCAATTCTGATGAGGTGGATGAACCTAGAACTTCTTATACAGAGTGAAGTGAGTCAGAAAGAAAAAGATAAATATCATATTCTAAGGCACATATATGGAATCTAGAAAAATGATTCTGAAGAATTTATTTACAGGGCAACAATGGAGAAACAGACATAGAGAATAGACTTAATGGACATGGAGAGAGGGGAGGAGAGGTTGAGATGTATGGAAAGAGTAACATGGAAACTTACATTACCGTATGTAAAATAAATAGCCAACAGAAATTTGCTGTATAGCTCAGGAAGCTCAAACAGGGGCTTTGTAGCAACCTAGAAGGCTGGGATGGGGAGGGAGATGGGAGGGAGTTTCAAAAGGGTGGGGATATATGAATACCTATAGATGATTCATGTTGATGTTTGACCAAAAACAAAAAAATTCTGTAAATCAATGATCTTTCAATAAAAAAGTAAATTTTAAAAAATGTGATAGCTCTGCATTTTCTATAAATATTTCATTGTCAGGAATTTAAATAACTGCTGCATAACATTGTAAAGCAAGTATGTGCCAGTTAAAAAAATAAATAGAAAAAGAAAACAAAACTGCTGCCATAGGTATTTAAAATTTGTCAGTATCCTAATTTGGAAGACATCTTGTTATCAATTATATACAAGTATAAAAATAAAACTGGGAACTTTAAAAACTGTCTTTTCCAGATTATACTGTGATTTGTTGTTCAGTTGCTAAGTCATGTCCTACTCTTTGTGACCCCATGGATTACAGCATACCAGGTTCCACTGTCCTCCACAGTCTCCCAGAATTTGCTCAAATCTGTGTCCGTTGAATCAGTGATGCTATCTAACCATCTCATCCTTTGCTGGAGAAGGCAATGGCAACCCACTTCAGTATTCTTGCCTGGAAAATCCTATGGACAGAGGAGCCTGGTAGGCTGCAGTCCATGGGGTCGCAAAGAGTCGGACACGACTGAGCAACTTCACTTTCACTTTTCACTTTCATGCGTTGGAGAAGGAAATGGCAACCCACTCCAGTGTTCTTGCCTGGAGAATCCCAGGGAAGGTGGAGCCTGGTGGGCTGCTGTCTATGGGGTTGCACAGAGTCGGACACAACTGAAGTGACTTAGCAGCCGCAGCAGCATCCTCTGCCACCCCCTTCACCTTTTGCTTTCGATCTTTCCCAGCATCAGGGTCTTCTCCAATGAGTCAGCTTTTCACATCAAGTGGCCAGAGTTTTGGAGCTTCAGCTTTAGCAACAGTTCTTCCAAAGAATATTTAGGATTGATTTCCTTTAGGATTGACTTGTTTGATCTCCTTGCAGTCCATGGGACTCTCAGAGTCTTTTCCAGCACCAGAATTCAAAAGCATCAATTCTTCAGCACTCAGCCTTCTTTATGATCCAACTCTCATTTCCATACATGGCTACTAGAAAAACCATAGCTTTGACTATATGAACTTTTGTCAGCAAAGTGCTGTCTCTGCTTTTTAATATGCTGTCTAGGTTGATCATAGCATTCCTTCCAAGGAGCAAGCATGTTTTAATTTCATGGCTGCAGTCACCATCTGCAGTGATTTTGGAGCCCAAGAAAATAAAATCTGTCACTTCTTCCACTTTTTCCCCTTCTATTTGCCATGAAGTGATGGGACCGGATGTCATGATCTTAGTTTTATGAATGCTGAGTATTAAGTCAGCTTTTTCACTCTCCTCTTTCACCCTCATCAAGAGACTCTTTAGTTCCTCTTCACTGCATATCTACCCATTACTGTTTCTCCCAGCAATCTTGATTCTAGCTTGTGATTAATCCAGCTCAGCATTTCACATGATGTATTCTTCATAGAAGTTAAATAAGTAGGGTGGCAATATACAGACTTGTCATACTCCTTTCCCAACTTGAAACCAGTTTTTCCATATCCAGTTCTAACTGTTGCTTCTTGACCCACATACAGATTTCTCAGGAAACAGATAAGGTGGTCTGGTACTCCCACCTCTTAAGAATTTTCCACAGTTTGTTGTGATCCACACAGTCAAAGGCTTTAGCCTAGTCAGTGAAGCAGAATTAGATGTTTTTTTGGAACTCCCTTGCTTTCTCCATGATCCAGCAATTGTTAGTTTGATCTCTGGTTCATCTGCCTCTTTGAAAACCAGAACATCTGGAAGTTCTCCTTTCATGTACTGCTTACGCCTATCTTAAGGATTTTGACTATAACCTTGCCAGCATGTGAAATGAGTGCTGTTGTACAGTAATTTGAATGTTCTTTGGCATTACCTTTCTTTGGGATTAGAATGAAAACTGACCTTTTCTGGTTCTGTGGCCATTGCTGAGTTTTCCAAATTTGCTGGCTTATTGACTGAAGCACTTCAACAACTTCAGCTTTTAGGATTTGAAATAACTCAGCTAGAATTCTGTCACCTTTACTAGCTTTGTTCATAGTAATGCTTCCTAAGGCCCACTTGACTTCACACTCCAGGATGTTCTGCTCTAGGAGAATGACCACACCATTGTGGTTATCCAGGTCACTAAGACCTTTTTGGATAGTTCTTATGTGTATTCCTGCCACTTCTTAATCTCTTCTGTTTCTGTTAAACCTTTACCATTTCTGTCCTGTACCATGCCCATCCTTGCATGAAATGTTCCCTTGGTATCTCTGGTTTTCTTAAGGAGATCGCTAGTCTTTCACATTATGTTGTTTTCCTCTATTTCTTTGCATTGTTCATTGAAGAAAGCCTTCCTGTCTCTCCTTAGTGTTCTCTGGAACACTGCGTTTAGATAGGTATATCTTTCTCTTTCTTACTTGCCTTTCACTTCACTTATTTCCAGCTATTTTTAAAGCCTCCCCAGACAACCATTTTGCCTTCATGCATTTCTTTTTCTTTTTGGAATGGTTGTGGTCACTGCCTCCTGTGCAGTGTTATGAACCTTCATCCATAGTTCTTCAGGCACCTTGTCTACCAGATCTAATCCCTTGAATCTATTCTTCACCTCCACTGGATAATCATAAGAGATTTGATTTAGGTCTTACCTGAATGGCCTAGTTATTTTCCCTACCTTCTTCCATTTAAGCCTGAATTTTGCAATAAGGAGCTCATAGTTTGAGCCACAGTCAGCTCCAGGTCTTGTTTTTACTGACTGTGTAGAGCTTCTTCATCTTCGGCGGCAAAGAACATGATCAGTCTGATTTCATTGTTGACCTTCTCATGATGTCCGTGTGTGGAGTCGTCTCTTGGGTTGTTTGCTATGACCACTGTGTTCTCTTGACAAAATTCTATTAGCCTTTGCCCTGCTTCATTTTCTACTCCAAGGCCAAACTTGCCTGTTATTCCAGATATCTCCTAATTTTCTACTTTTGCATTCCAATCCCTTATGATGAAAAAGACCTGTTTTTCTGTGTGTTAGTTCTAGAAGGTCTTATAGGTGTGCATAGAACGATTCAACTTCAGTTTCTTCAGCATCAGTGGTTGGGCAGACTTGGATTACTATGATATTGAATGATTTGCCTTGGAAATGACCCAAGATCATTCTCTCATTTTGAGGTTGCAACCAAGTCCTTCATTTCAGACTCTCTTATTGACTGTGAGGCTATCCCACTTTTTCCAGTGTTCTTGCCCACAGTAGTAAATATAATGGTCATCTGAATTTAATTTTTCCATTCCCATCCATTTTTTTCACTGATTCTTAAGATGTCCATGTTCACTCTTGCCATCTCTTGTTTGGCCATCTCCTTTTTGACCATGTCCCATTCCAATTTACCTTGATTCATGGACCTACTATTCCAGATTCTTACGCAGTATTGTTCTTTACAGCATCGGACTTTACTTTCACCACCAGACACATCCACAGCTTAGTGTTTTTCCCTCTTTGGTCCAGCTGCTTCATTCTTCCTGGAGCTATTAGTAATTTCCCTCTGCTTTTATTATATTGAACACTTTCCCACCTGGGGGCTCATCTTCCATCATCATATTTTTTTGTCTTTTCATACTGTCCATGGGGTTCTTCAGGCAAGAATACTGGAATGAGTTGCAATTTCCTTCTCCATTTGATCATGTTTTGTCAGAACTCTTCACTATGACCCATTCATCTTGTGTGGCCCTGCATGGCATGGCTCAAAGCTTCACTGAGTTAGGCAAGACCCTTCACCACAACCAGGCTGTGATCCATGAAAGGCATACTGTGATTAACAATGCATATGTGTATGGACCTTATACCTTGTGAGACTATGTTCTAATAAAAATGTAATTTTAATTAACTGAGTTTTAGCCAGTAAAAATACAGTTTCTGATCAGCATTAGTATTTTCTACAGGTAATCTCACAAAACTATTGATACAATCTTATTCCTGACCTGTATTATTTTGATGGATTGTATAACCATTGATTAGTTTACAAAAGTGTATTACATGGGTTTGACAGGTTTTGTTTGTTTTGGCTTCTAATTCTGTATCTTTGTTTTTAAGCATCGAATGTTATCCAGGCAAGAAGAACTCAAAGAAAGAGCAAGAGTTCTGCTTGAGCAAGCAAGAAGAGATGCAGCTTTAAAGGCAGGGAATAAGCAGCATACCAACGCAGCCACACCACTCTGCAACAGGCAGCTAAGTGATGTGAGGAACATTGGTTAAAAATAATACATTGTTCATTGTAATCGTGGGGGTGTAAATAAGAGTAACTTACTTATATTTCTAATAAATTCTTTTTCCACAGACTATGTATACTATGGGTACTTGTTACTTTTATTGAACTGATAAATTCATACTTGCAGGAGCAGTTTGTAATTATTTCTGTACAGCAATATTAGCTATGAGAAAAAGTAAGATCCTGGATTATAATTTCCACATATATATGAATAATCTGTTTTATGTTAATTTAATTTTATAATTTAGGTGTACTTTGTTTAAGATGGTGTTTTGTCCATGGAAGATAATTTTGTTGAAAATATTAGAGTATAATAATGATGCCTACCATTTATTGAAATACTTAGCATATATTCCAGGCACTATAGTGGATATTTTGCCTAATTTCTATTTTACTTAACCACTTAAGTAGATATTCAAACTCCTTTTAGCTAAGAAAACTGAGGCTGACAGGTAAGATAATTTGTGTAAGGTTGTAGTCAGTGTATGATGAATTCATGATTTGATCCTGAGACTTAATCAGACTCCAGAGTCAGTCCTCTTTCTTATCATACCTACCATCCCTGTGTTAAGCCATATTTTTATATATATTTTTATGTAGTGCCTCACAGATAATAATGAATATATAGTAATAAAAGCCTTAGATTTAGGGAGACATGAACCTCTTCATGAATCTGAAACTTATGATAACCCTGCCCTACCCCCAATTTTACATATACATAAAACTGCATTTTCCTTTTTTTTTTAATTAAGATTTTTTTAGAGAAGTTTTAAGTTCACAGCAGAATTGAGAAGAAGGTATAGAGTTTTGCCCTATATTCTCTGTACCCATACATGAATAGCCTTCCTTCTTAATAACACTCCCTGCCAGGGTGGTATATTTGTTAAAACTGATAAATCTACATTGACACATCATTATTACTCAAAGTCTGTAGCTTACATTAGGTTAACTCTTACTGTTATACAGTCTATGAGTTTAGACAAATGCATAATAATATCTGTCCATCTTTATAATATCATACAGAGAATTTTCACTGTCCTAGGAATCTTTGCATTTCACCTATTCATCTCTCTCCCCATCCTCAACCTCTGGGAACCTGATAATTTTATTGTCTTCATAATTTTGCCTTTTACAGAATGTTGGTAGTTGGAACCATAGTATATTACCTTTTCTGATATGGCTTCTTTTCACTTAGTAAGATGCATTTAAGGTTCCTCCATGTGTTTTTATGATTTGATAGCTCATTTCTTTTTAATGCTGACTAATACTCCACTGTCTGGATGTACCACAGTTTATTTTTCCATTCACTTACTGTTAGACATCTTGGTTGTAATCAGGAATAAAGCTCCTTGAATCATCTACAAACGGAGAAGGCAATGGCACTCCACTCCAGTACTCTTGCCTGGGAAATCCCATGGACAGAGGAGCCTGGTAAACTACAGCCCATGGGGTTGCTGAGAGTCAGACACGACTGAGCAACTTCACTTTCACGCACTGGAGAAGGAAATGACAACCCACTCCAGTATTCTTGCCTGGAGAATCCCAGGGACGGGAGCCTTGTGGGCTGCCGTCTATGGGGTCGCACAGAGTCAGACACGACTGATGTGACTTAGCAGCAGCAGCAATTATCTACAAAGCAGGTTTTTATATGACCTCAAGTTCTCAACTGCCTTGGTACATTTCAAGGAGCACATTTGCTGGATCTTATGGCAAGAGTGTGTTTACTTTTATAAGTAACAAAGAAAAAAAATAAAAAGACACCAAACTGTCTTCCAAAGTAGCTATACCATTTTTCTTTCCCACCAGCAATTAAATGAGAATTCTTGCGTTTTACTTTGGGTACTGTCAGTGTTCCAGATTTTGGTCATTCTAATAGGTGTGTAGTGGTATCTCATTGCTTTGATTTGCATTTTGCTGAGAATATATAATATGGAACACCTTTTCATGTGCTTATATGCCATATGGAAATCTTTGGAGAGATGTCTGTTAAGGTCATTGATTCATTTTTTAGTCAAGTTATTTGTTTTCTTACTGTTGAGTTTCAAGAGTTCTTTGTTTCTTTTGGATAACAGTCTTTTATCAGATATATCTTTGCAAATATTTTATCCATGCCTGTGGCTTGTCTTCTCATTCTTTCTACATTATCTTTCACAGAGTAGAAATTATAAATTTTAATGAAATCCAGTTTATCCATTATCTCTATTGTGAATCACACCCTTGGTGTTATATCTAAAAAGGCATCACCATACTCAAGGTCATTTAGGTTTTATGTTATCTTCCAGGAGTTTTATAGAATTATGTTTTACATTTAGGTCTGTGATACATTTTGAGTTAATTCTTGTGAAAGGCATAAGGTCTGTGTCTAGATTTATTTTTTTGCATGTGCATATCCAGTTGATCTAGCACCATTTGTTGAAAAGATGATCTTTGCTCCACTGTGTTGCTTTTGTTAACTCCTTTCAGATACCAGCTTAATAACCTCTGAGCTTGACCTCCATTTTTCATACTTTTCTTCTTTTTTACTTTCTTTATTGTTATTTTTGTCTTTAAGTGAAGTATAGTTGATTTATAATATTAGCTTCAGATATACAACATAATAATTCAATATTTTATAGATTACGCTGCATTTAAAATTATTGTGAAATACTGGCTATATTTCTATGCTATACAATATACAGACTTTGAGTCTTTGCACAGTAATGTGATATAAAATCAATATAGTGGGCCACAGTTTTATTTTCAATGAAAAAGAATAGAATATTTAAATGAAATGGGAAAATACCAGAATTTATCACACATCATAGTATTTTTGTGTGATTTTAGTTACGTGGGTATGTGTGCTTACTGGATCTTGGTACCGGATGTATTTTTAATTGTGGGTCATGATAAAAATGTTTGAGAAACACTAATTTAGATGGCCATTCTTTCTAAGGAAGAAATTTTGTAGCTTTTATAGGAGTTCTTTCAGTTATATCAATTTGTTATAACAATTTGTTTCTTTCTAAGGAAGAAATTTTGTAGCTTTTATATCAATTCTTTCAGTTATATCATCTGTTATATCAATTTGTTGGTTCAGTAAAATGTTTATTGAGTTGGAACTGAGTGTGGCAATAGAAAAGACTAAGCTTCAGGTCTTCCCTGGTAGTCCAGTGGTTAAGACGCCACACTTCCACTGCAGGAGTTGCAAGTTCAATTCCTGGTCAGGGAACTTAAGACCCTACATGCCACAAGCTGTGGCCAAAAGACAAAGATTCTTCCCTCATGGAATCTGCATTTTGGTGAGAAGAGACAGAGAATGATGAATAAATAAATTAACTACAGAGTGTGAAAATGACTGATTTAGTAGACATATTAGAGGATAATTTGAGTAGGTAGGAGTGACTTGAAGAGGGGACATTTGAAGTAAGACTTGATGGTGAGAAGGATCCAGTTAAGTGAAGGGCCAGAGAAAGAATATTCTCTTCAAAAAGAAAGTTATTTTGTTGTTATTATATTTGTGATAAACTTTGTTTCATAGTTGTTTCAGGTTCTAAAAATTATGGAAAATTTATAGCCCTGTATTTTGAAGTATGTTGATTTTAAATTTAGAATACTTGAGATTTAAATGATTGCTTTGCCAAGTAGATTTTAAAAAGCTATTATTTTACCTATGTATAAATTTTACATATATTAATAATTGCTATCTAATGTTTACTGAGCACTTACTGTGTGTCAAGCAGGATTCAAAGTGCTTTCACATGGATTTTCTCATAATCTCTACAACAATTATATGTGTTAAATATAATCTCTGTTTGATAGTTGAGAAAACTGACGCACAAACAAATTCAGTTGCCCATGGTTACACAGCTAAATAAGTGACAGAGCCAAGAATGTAACCTGGACAGTTTGACTTTAGAGATTATGTTTTTAAAGCATTATGTTTTCTTTCTTTCTTGTTTATTTTCTGAAATCCTTGTGAAGTAGGAATGGTTATTATTGTTGTAACCATTGTAGAGAAAAATGAGGTAGGAAAGGGGGTTTAAAATTACCTAGGGTTGCAAACAGTAGCAAACTAGGCTTAAAATTCGAGTATCCTGACTTTTAAAGCTGTTTAGTCTTTCATTCAGTTTATTCATTGCTTTAAATTTTAAACAAATATTTTATTGTTCATCTCTTCTTTTTAAGGCACTAGTAATTTTGCTTACACTTAAATATCCCAAGTAGAACAAACTTTTAGCTAAGTTATGTTAGTATGAATTCAACATCAGGAGTTAATTACTGAAATATTGCTTTTTCTATGTCTGTAATATCTTACTCTACCTGTAAAATCTGTAGCTTGGATTTTTTTAATCTTATTTACCAATTTCTTTATTTATTTTTGACTGTGTTGGGTCTTCCTTGCTGTGAGGGTTTTTCTTTAGCTGCGGGCAAAGGGGGCTACTCTTCATTGCAATGCATGGGCTTCTAATTGGGGTGGCTTCTTTTGTTGTGGAGCACCGGCTCTAGGGTGAGAGGGCTTCAGTAGTTGCAGCTCCTAGACTCTAGAGCACGGCCTGTAAGCCCGTGAGTTGTGGCTCACCAGCTTAGTGGCTCCGTGGCATGCAGGATCTTCCCAGATTAGTTATCAAACCTGTGTCTCCTGCACTGGCAGGCGGACTCTTTACCACTGAGCCACCAGGGATGCCCTGTAACTTGGATTTTAAGAAACGTGATATGGTAGTGATGTCTCATCAAGTCAAGATACTCTTATTAATACTTCTGGTAGCATGTAACTTGCCACACCCTTCTGAAAAGCAAATTGACTTCTTCAGGAAATGCTCGTTCTATTTTACTCAGTAATCCCACTAACAGAGATTAATATGCAAGTTTTTATCACATGTTATTTATAATAGTAAAAGTTACAAAATGGCAATCGCTCAAAATGGAAGAATGATCAAATAAATTACAACACATATATATACTTTATATGTATGTAGCCACTGAAAATTAT